CCATTGCAGACCTGCCCTGAATCTGTCTGGCTCAATGCTTCTGCTCTCTGGGAGGTACCTGACAGCAACAGCTGATGAGAGACGATGCTGGAGATCCTGGGGGGACTGCAACCATGTGTTCCCTGGTGCTGGTACAGCTTGGATGGAAGAGACAGTGAGCAGTGAGCATCCCCACACCATGGTTACAGCTGGGGCAGCTGCACCAGGCACCTAATATCATGGAGGTGCCCTGCTTGAGATGTGGCATGGTGCCATGGACTTTCTGTGGTGGGAGCAATGCCTTGTTGCCATGTTGAGCAAAGATGTGGGGGACTCTGTGCCTTGGAGCGACAGGGGCCTAGGGCAGAGGGTCAGCACTGGTGAATGAAGAAGATGTGGGGTCAAGGACCTGTGGTGCCCCAACAGTCACCAGTGCAGGTCCCCAGGAGGCCCGAGGGTTGGGTACTCCTGCTCTCCTTTCAGCTGGCAATGCAATTCCAGTTTCTCTCTGCTCTGGCAGCCATTGGAAGGGGGAAAAGAGATGGAAAGAGGGGTCCAAATGGACATGGTCCTGCTCATCTGCAGGGTCTTGACCTCTGCATGGGGGCTAATAGAGACGGGTGGTGGCTGGATGCTGCCAGACGGGAACAGGCTAAATATGAAGAACAACACAGCATGGACCAGAACTCGCTGGGCGGCCCAAGCTGGAGGCTTGTTTTGTTTCACTGTTTGTTGTCTCTCTCTCCCCCTCTGGGTTTTGTGGCTCTGAGCTGCAGGGCTGGAAAATTATTCATCCAAACCACAGCTCCCATGACACTCTCTGTAAGCATCTGTGGCTCCAGACTTCACTGCAGCAGTGGGTGGGAAGTCGTAAATTCATCATCGTCACCAATTTGGCCTCCTGTTAGACAGGATGTGAAATGCGGAGCAGCAGGCTATGCCACAGACGCAGCCATACCAAACTCACCGGGTGAAACCTGTTGGCCAGTTTGCATGACAAATCCCTGTCCTGGGCCTGTCCCATTGATGAGAAGGTCCTTCCACAACTGCCAGAGTAGCTGTGCTTCAGCTGCAGACATCTGCAGGTTTACCTTGGCTGCTTGGCTCTGCTGGAAACACTGTTGTGTTGTGCTAGCCATATGTGAGGTCTGTGGGACCACTTGCTGCTGGACTTCTGGAAGCTCTGCAGACAGCAACATGCCTCCCTCACCATCGCCTTCACTTGCTTCCTTATGACTCTGACCCAGCACCCCTTTCAACTCTGTGCCATAAGCCCTGGGTCTGTGCGTCAGACCTGCCTGTCTGCGCGTAGCTGTGCCCCATGCTGGGAATGCCTCCTCTGTGCATGGACACACAAGAGACCTGTGAGCAATTTCCCAAGGGGCTGTAGAAATATTCTGATGCAGCAGCCCATCTGACAAGACAGATGGACAGTGCTGTGCAGAACTGAGCCCCACTGGGACAAGAGGTGGTAAGGGGCAGGTGCCAGCAGAACTCACCCCCCATCTCGCTCAGTCACTGCCATCAGCTAAGGATGATCTGGGGGGTGGCCAAGTTGTCTCATGTGAGTTGCCCTGCTCTTCTCCATGAAAGGCAAGAGCTCACAAGCAGTCCCTGGGAATACTGTCCCATTCTGAGGCCCCTCTCCTGTGCCACCAGCTGTAGAGACAGACCCATGGAGAATATGGCTAATTAGCAAAGCCCCAAGCATAATGACTTTGAAAGCCACAGGGTAGCTCTGATTGCAGAAAAATAGAAAAGAGAGGATGAGGAGTTCCAGCCCATCCTTATCCTTGGCAGCTGCACCTTTCTGAGGATGCTGTCCTGGCCAGTCTGTTGGGAGACCCTGGTAGCTGTGCTTGGCAGAGCAAGGGAAGGCTTGCCTTCCTTGTCTCTGCAGAACCCCTGGCTGTCGTGGGGTGATGCACAGCCGAAGGGGCGATGACCACCCACCCAGGGTGGGGAGCCAGCAGTACGAGACCCACATACTGGCTGTCAGGCTCTAGACAGCAAAACCCCTGTAATCCTGCTTCTTGGATCGCTTGCAAGGCTCCTGCTGCCTCACGACAATGGCTTCTCCTTCATATCTTCACTGTAACTGGGATTAGCCCCACTTTCCAGGTCAGGGCACTCCACAGACATTCTTGAAATACTCTGAGACTAAGGGCATTAGGTGTTTTGCACATCATAAATCATGTTGAGACGTACAGGCACAAACACTTGTCAGTGTTGAGTGGACACTGCTCATCTTCAACAAGAGCTCACATCTACAGAGATCTTTGAGGTGTAAACCTGCTCAGCACCTGGGGTTTCCAGGCTACACATAGCAAATGGGAGCCACAGGCTGTGTCTAACAGGACCAGCAATGAGATGCTGGGGCTGGATCCAGGTCTCTCCTGTTTGAGGGAATGACCACCAGTCCTTTTCCTACGTCGGTACCTGGTTCTCCTGCTCAGTGACCTCTGCCTCCATGTGCTTTGGAGGTCAGCTGTGCTGAGGCTCAGGCAGTGAGGAGAGGACTCTGAGAAGTGAATGGGATTGAGCATCCAGTGTAGAAATATCAGTGTTTTCATGGTCCTTGTAGGGATTTGTTAGAGACGACTTGCAGGTCCTGGCAGAAAGGAACTATTTTTAAGCCTGGCTGGAGCTGGATGGTGAAAGCTGGACACCAGGATTGTTTCTAATGGAGGTCTAAGAAGTATTGGTCCTATGTACATATGGCAGCAGGACTCATGGTCCTTCTTGGGGCTCTTGGGATAAAAACCCTAACACTGGTGAGAACCTGCTGTGCTGGGCAGGTCTAAATTTCACCAGTGTATCAATCCAAAACTCTGCACAGACAATGGGCACACCATTCTTTGGACCAGATTTGATTTCTCAGCTTGCTTGCTTTACATCAGGCCTCCAGCATGCACTGGTGTCTTCTCCTGCGGTGCCCCAGAAGAACATGGCAAGCGGCTGCTGCAACAAACTGTATGTACATCATGAGCAGCAAACAGCTTGACCTCACCAATCCTGCCTACTGGTCTGGGGGGTCACTGGGAGCAACAACATCATAAATCCTTTTGTGCACATAAGCATATCCACGGAATTTTGCAGGCCTTTTTCATGTTGAAAATCTTCCTACATTGTCGTGGAGAGCTCCTGGCATGCTGACATCCAACCCCAAGCAGAAATGCTACAAGTGACTGTCATGGTTACTTGTGCAGGCTGAGCAGTAAATGACCTGTCACATCATGCTGGTGGGTGACCCTGGGACAAAGATCTAGTCACATGGAACATTTTCAAAGAGCAACTGGACCCATGACAATCTAAGCCAAGGTGAATGAGGGTGGTCATGGGCGAGTCAGAATGCTCTGACCTGTAGTGAAGACAGCACTGCATGCACAGAGTGCCCAGGGTGAGGGAAAACTGTGGTGGAAAAAAACGTATGGGGCTACGGCTCTGTGCTGTCTTGGTTTCCTTTAGCCCATGAGTGCTGCAGTGTGGAGCTGGGAGCAGAACAGGGAATGGAGGGAAGGAGAGGACATCAGAGAGAACTGAGCAGCAGAAAAGCCCTGCCTGCAGTACGGAAGTTATACTGTGTACACGGAGAGATTGCACCTACCTACGTGTGCGCTGTGTCTGCACATGGGCAGGGGGTGCAAAGGACAACAGGCAGGTTCCCACCCCTGATGGCAGCTGTATTGCACTGGGTGGGATGGGCACAGAAACTGCCAAGGAGAAAAAGGTTAGCTGGAAGGAGGGGGAAAGGTGCTGGGCACAAAACCCAGTTGCAACTGAAGCATCATCCCGGTGCTGGGATGGTTGATGGTTGCCCATGCTTAGGTGCCCTGCATGTCCCACTCTGGATGCAGACAGCAAGAGCCTTGCTTTGGAAGAGGGAGAATCTATTTGTGGAAACACAAGGGCAGAGTGGCCAACTCAGACCCCCACCAGGGCTGTCTACTCCTTGCAGTCAGTCTTGGGACTCCTCATCACAGTTGTTGTGTCTTCTCACCCCACCCCAAGTCAAGTGGTGTCCCTCTATGTGGCTGCATGGACAACCCAGTTCCTGGGGCAGCAGCCAGTGGTCTGCAGTGAGCCACAGGGCTGCCAGCTGCTTGCCAGCATGTCCACTGGACCAGGCGGCTTTGCCCTGGTCCTTGGCTCTTTGGAACCAACAGGTCCATAACTTCAAGCTCAGGTTTCATCAAAAAATATATCTCTTCCTCCCAAAGCTATGCATAGGTTGCAGGCTCACCGCAGAAATGTTGCCTCAGTAAAAGGCGCAGACGAGAGCGAGCAGGAGCTGCTGTGTGCCACGTGCTGCAGTGCCTGGACTGGCCAAGGGCATGGACTCTCCATGCCTAGGGGCACAGCTGCCCTTTTGGGAACAGCCTCTGTGCTGCAGCAGGGCAAGGCCTCGTCATCACCACGAGCACACAAAAGCCAACAAACCCTTACGACTACGCTCTTTCCTAGGGCTGTTTAGTGTTTGTACTTAAGACTCATACACCAGCCGAGACAAGCCAGCTCCCACCATGCTCTGCTCACAGAGTCTGAGACCTCAGCCCACTCGGTGCCCATGGAGACCACGGTGCACAGCACTCATGCCAGCAGCCTGGGGGTGCCAGGGCTGTCCAGGAACAAGCCCAGGGTGAGCCCTTCTGTGCTGAGAGGCAAGGACACCGCAGGTGCCCCACAGATGGTGCTGCATGCTACAGTGGTGTTAACAGATCTTCAAGGCACCAGGAATCCCAGGAGATAGCTAAAGCAGGGGAGCAGCCCCTCCCAGCCCACTGCCATGTCTGCACCAAGGGGCTGCAGCAGTGCACAGCAGGACAGCACTGCTCAGGAGACCCCATGTTGCTGTGAACACCCTGTGGGACATGTTATGGCAGTGCTAGAGCAGGTCTCCTCTCACTGCAGGGCTCACTTGGTGCCAGGACCCGCACCGTGCTCTCGCCCCAGCTCCCAGCTCCAGACAAGGGGCCCACAGAGGTGGAGGGCAGGATGGTGCCAGGAAGTGCCAAGCAGTGTTAGGGCTGTTTCTGTGCGATGATGTCCCGGATGCAGGTGTACAGGAACATGTACTGGTCCTGTGAGAGAGAAAGGGGAGGTCTGGAGTCAGGTTTCTGACAGACACCTTCTGGTTGCAGGACTAACCCTGCAATTTGCCTTAAAAGTTTCTAATTAACTAACAGTGTCTGATGGCAAAGTAGATTTGCTGTCCCAAGTGGTCCATGTTTGTCCTGTGTCACCAGGGTTGCCCAGAAAGGAAGAATCAGGCCTGGAGTTTTAGATACACCATGTCTGTTTCCTCTTTCAGCATCCCCACTCATAACACCTGACAGCAAACTGCACTGTGGTGTGAGAGGAATAGCATCATTTGGCTTCCTCAAAGTGCCACGGCAGTTTTGGGATGTGCCATGGTGTTTGCATCCAAACCAAAACAAAAAAGCAACTCCAGTGATACTGCAGGGCGGCGAGCAAGGAGAGCTCTGTGCTGCTGGAGTGCGCATGGTCTGGCAGTGACCTGAGACCAGGAGAGAAGACCTCTGGAGCAGGATTTTCCCTCGGTGGTAGCCTGAGTATACCTGAGACAAGGGCTGACAGCAGATCATGGTAGATCTCTGCAAGCTCTCAGAAGCAGACAAAAACATCTGGATGGTTTTAGTCCAGTTGCATTGTTTCTCTGTTTTTCAGATGACCAAAATGATCCATCAGCACCAAATGTGGGTCCAGAGGTCTCAAGTCCACTCTGGATTTGACACGAGGTTCTGCTCAAATGCCAGGCTGCTCCAAATGACACTATGCTACAAAACACCCAGGACTGACCATGGCAGGGCTCCGGGAAAGGCAAGATATGGGAAAGGTAAGTGAGGTGGTACTCAATGCACAAAGCTGAAGAGCAGGACCAGCCTGCAAATGCTGTGGGTTGAAATCACATGGTAGCCAGGAAGGGGGGATTAGGGACTCGACAGAGGGGCCTCCAAACAGCTCACTAATGCGCTGGCTAATCTGCAAGTCACGAGGAGCCTCCTCCCCTCACGGCAGTGGGTTTAGCCCCACTGAAGGCCCGGGAAAGCCACAGATCACACAATGGCTGTGACTGCAGGTCACCAGGGTGTGTTTTCAATGAGCCTAGCCTGATTGTGAAATCTGGAGTGACAGCCCAGGCTTGACTTCAGACCAGGCACACTCAATGCCAGGCCAAACGCAAGAGCACATCCTCAGAGACACATCCCTGCTGTGCTTAAACACCCAAAGGTTATACATAGACAAATCCTCAAAGGTTCATCTTTCTCCCTGTTTGGCTACTAAAGCCTCCCAAAAATCAGCTGATGCCCCCCGCATGACAGCATGCCCCCAGCAGAGATGAAGGAGCCCTGTCAAGGCCCTGCGGCGATGGGGGGTGCTGGCAGCCACAAGGCAGTGGTGCCGGGCTGGAGGGCAGCCTGCCTGTCCTTCACTGGCCATCCTGGGATCACAGTGATCACTGCTCGTGGCAAGGTGGGGAGGCAGCTGCCCCTGCTGCACACACACCTCCCCCCAGGGGGGTAGCAGCTTTTGATCAACCATTACTGTGCCTTTATGGGCACGTTGTGTCTGCTCCGCAAGACCACTGCTGAAACACAAAGGAGCTCTGAAGCAGGGGCAGCAGACGCCTTGCTCTTCTCTGGCTCCCACCATGCGCATGGTTCACATTAATTAAGAATGGGATTAGCTGCTGGCAGACGGGTCTGCAGCTGGGAAGCCCTGGAGAGATCTGCCCTAATTCTGCTGTCCCCTGTGGGGAGGGTTTCCAGGGATGCTGCCTCAGCTTGTTCAGCGGTCAAAGCAAATGAAAGCGCTATCCAGAGGGCATCTGTGCCACCAGAGCCCATCAGGAGAGGCATGCCGGAGGCTTGTGAGGCTAGGCTGGGCTGGCACAGCAAGGCACATCACGGCTGCAGCACTATCAGACATTGCCACAGCCCACATGGCTGCACGGCAGCTGCAGACGTGGCAGGGTGTCCCACTGACCCACTCACAGGCAGCCCAAGCTCTGGAAGCAGGCAGGGGCTGTGAGCAGGCTCTGGGTGTGGGCGATGCAACAGGGAAAAGCACCAGACAAGGAAACCCAGCAGATTCTGGGTGTCCAGGCTAACAGCCCTGTCCAGAGGCCACGGGTGAGCAGGCAGCTTTGTCACATAGGATAAAACCAGTGCTTCATGCTTTCCAGGGCAGAAAGGGAAGAGTGCCTTGCATTTATCATAAGCTCACATGTAATTTAACCTATTTTAACTACTGGACTGAGGAGATGGAAAGGTCTTCCCTGAGAAAAGACAGTGACCTTAGCCCTTGGTGGCTGGCAGAGCCACAGGGTGGGGAGGAAGCATGGAATAAATCCCTGCATAGGCTGGACAGGCACCCAGGTGGCAGATAGTACCCAGGGAGTGGGCAGCATGCTGCCAGCTCCAGGCAGTTCAGCAAGAATGTCCTGTTCTGTCCGTCCCACCACCCTTCCTCCTCTCCACCTACCAGAGTTGGGGTCATGAGACAGCAGCTTCTTGCTAGCTGGAGGGCTACCGCGTAGATATCCACGATTCTCTTAGCTTTCATCTGATGCAAGAGGCAATCCAGGGAGATCAGCATCCCCATTTGGCTCACACCACCACTGCAAGGGACAAGGGAGGGTCACTGATGCTGGGACAAGCTGAGCTGAACCTCTTTGGAAGTGGATGTCAGCCCAAGAAGTCAGAAGCTCCATGATAAAACATGCAGCAACAAAGTACAATGAGGATAGGGGAGTATGACCACTTGTCTGTTTGCCCTCCCTTCTCCCATGCTCTTGGCAGAGCAGTGCTCATGTGACCTCCCAAGCTCAGATGCTGCATCCCAAAGTGCCCGTTGAAGGAGCTTGGACATCCAGCCTACCCTGCCCTGCCGAGCTGTGTACTCCTCACCCAAGCCATCTCTGCCAATGTGCCAGCTGTGTTGGCTCTTGTGGGACTCTGAGCTCTCCCTGGCTGCAAGCATATGAGGACATTACGGCTGCCCTCCAGATCCTAGCAGTCAGCCCGGGGATG